TTTTGATATAATTCTTAGCAAGAATTCAATTATTTTTGAAAATTTTAATAAAATTCATAGCAAAATTCAATTATTTTCGCATAAATAACCATATTCATTCCAAGAATTCAATTATTTTTAAAAGTAATAAATTTCTTCTTAAAAACTCAATTATTTAAAAAAAATTCTAATAAAATCGTTCGCAAGAATTCAAATATTTTTATAAATAATAAAATGCTTTTTAGGAATTAAATTATTTTCAAAAAAAAAAAAAAATCTAATAAAATGCCACACTGACATTCAATTATTCTCAAAAATTTTAATAGAATTCTTTGTAAAATTTAATTATTTTTAAACACTATTAGCAATTCAATGATTTTCAATATCTACTATTTTCATAAAATTTCCAAACAGATTTCAATTATTTAAAAATATTTTTGTAAAAATCTTCGTAAAAATTGAATTATTTTTGAACAGTTTAATAAAATTTTTCGCAACTTTTCAATTATTTTCATAAATAATAAAATTCGTCGCAGAATTTCGATTAATGTTAATACAATTTTACAGGAATTGCTCGAAAAATGTAATTATTCTGTAAAATTTAATTTCAATTCCTCAAAAAAATCAACTATTTAAAAAAAATTTTTTTTTTTAATTTTTAGGAAGAATTCAATTATTTACAAAAATAGTCGAAATTGAATTATTTTCAATATCTACTATTTTTAATAAAATTTCGCAAAAAAATTGAATTATTTAAAAAAAATTGATGAAATTCATCATTTAAAATTCAATTATTTGTATAAATACATAATAAAATTTACACAGGAATTCAATTAATTTAGAATAACATTTTTATCAACATTTAGAAAAAATCAATTATTTAACAAAATTTTTATACAATTCTTCACAACAATCCAATTACTTTTACTAATAATAACATTTTTCATGGAAATTCAATTATTTAAAAAAAAAGTTTTTGATAAACTTCTAAGCAAGAATTCAATTATTTTCATAAATAATAAAACTCATCAAAGAATTTCAATTATTTTTAATACTGTTTTAAATTAATTAATCGAAAAATTCAATTATTTTTACAAATAAAGTTTTCCTCCGAGAATTAAATTATATAAAAAGAAAAATTTTCATAATATTTATTATATTTTGAAAAGAATAATTATTTAATACAATGTTTATAAAATTCATGATTGAAGAATTCAATTATTTTCAAAAATAATAAAATTCTTCTCAGGAATTCAATTAATTTTGAAAATTTTTCAATTTCTCAAAAAATTGTATTTTTTAAATTCTTTGCAAGAATTCAATTATTTTCAAATATTTTAAGGGCATTTGAACCATTATGACGTCACGGCTTTAGAATAAATGCTTTGCACAAACCATGACGTCATAATGGTTTAAATGCCCTTAAATTTAATAAAATTGTTCGAAAGAAAACAATTAGATATTTTAAATACAATTTTGATTAAATTTTTTGAAATAATTCAATTATTCTTTTAAATTTTAATAAAATTCTTCCCAAGAATTCAATTATTTACATAAATAATTCTTCGAAAGAATTCAATTATTAAAAATAAATAACAAAATTTTTCCTGAAAATTCAATTATTTTGAGGCATTTTAATAAAATTCTTTGCAAAATTCAATTATTTTCATAAATACCTAAGAATATTCATCACAAGAATTCAATTATTTTTAAAAATAATAAATTTCTTCTTGGAAATTCAATTATTAAAAAAAATTCTAATAAAATCGTTGGCAGGAATTCAGTTATTTTCAATTATTTTCATAAATAATAAAATGCTTTTCAGGAATTCAATTACATTTTCAAAAAAATTTAATAAAATAACACACAGACATTCAATTATTATCAAAAATTTTAATTGAATTCTTTGTAAAATTGAATTATTTTTAAAAACTTTTCGCAATTCAATGATTTTCAATATAGACTATTTTCATAAAATTTCTAAACAAAATTCAATTATTTAAAAAATTCTTTGTAAAAATATTCGTAAGAATTCAATTTTTCTCATGAATATGAAAAATTTTTTAGGAATTCAATTATTTAAATTATAGAATTTGCATAAAATTAGTCGAAAGAAATAAATTATTTAAAAATTTTATAAAATTATTCGCAAAAGTTAAATTATTTTTATAAATATTAAAATTCCTTCATGGATAATAAAATTCGTTGCAGGAATTCAATTTATTATCAGGATAAGAAAGAAGTAAATATTTTTGATGAAAATTAGGAAAAAGTCAGGAAAATAAAATATAGAATGGAATTTTTGTCAGTAGGGTAACTGTACCAATTGTCGAGGGTTTTAGGCAACATGTGACTTTGAAATTTTTTTTCTCGGAAGTAAATGCACTTTAAAATTAGATTTTTGTATATTTGGACGAAGGATCTAATAATGTTTAATATTTATATTTATTTTTTTAATATAAACTAAATTGTTAAGCAAAAAATATATTTAAAAGTCAATCGAGCAAAAGCACCATTTGTCGATGGTCTTGTGCTAATTTCTCGAGGGTCTGTTCCAATTGTCGAGGGTATGACATTTTTAAACATATAACCCAATATAACCTAACAATTAACCTGTACAGATATTAGAAAATCGAGTAGATATTTATTTTTTCGATAAAAATATTATAGAACATTACCAGAAAACAAATATATTTATTTAACTATAATTGAATAATTTATAATATCGATATAAAACATTTTTATAGTAGATGATACAGGACAGAAAATTATTTAACTGTTTTTTAAACTTTTATAAATATAAGTTAATTAAATTTAATCAATTTTGTTAATCAGACATTAATTGAAAAAATAAATTAATTTAAGTCACATTAAATTTGTAAACGAATAAAATAAACTTTTATTACGAACTGTAAATATAATGGTTAATTATAATTAAACTATAGTACAAAATTTTTTAATTTTAAATAATGCATTTTTTTTATTAATTTTTTTTCCGTCTTCCTCGTTTTTTTGGTTGATTATTTTCTGTTGGTTGTAAATTTTTGGAGCATTTTTTTTCTTTTTCTCTGTACCTATAAATGTTTGGCATTTATGTTTGACGTTTAGTAAATAAACACTTAACCATCGATAAATGGTGCATCAGCGAAAAAAGTGACTACACCAATTTTCGAGTCATTACCTCGAAAAATGGAACTGTCAAAAAAAAGGAACCAAATACCGATGATTTGCTTTTAAAAAATATTAAATATTTTTTTTTAACAAAAAAACATGCATACAAAATTAATTTAGTTCGTGTACAAAATTATAATAATAATTTTGTACACAAAAAGTCATTATAAATACGTTTAATTTGCATTTCTAAAAATCTGTTTTAATCAACCTGAAGTATTAAGAAAATGGAGATTCGTGTAAATTTCACAGCAGTGAATTATAATATTAATTAAATAATTATTTTAGTAGAATCGCTATGAAATTTGTATATATAAATATACAGTTGAAAATACAAAGATTATTTAGAAATTTTTTTTGTTCTTAAAAATTATATATTATACTATTTATCTAAAAAAGAAAATTATTATCCTCGACAATTGGAGCACCCTCGGCAATTGGTGCAGTTACCCTATTGTGAAGTATCTAAAATGAGTTTTTTCGGTCGTCAAGTTTAATTTTTCGATAGCTATAATTTATTTTTTTACTACTTTTTTAAAATTAATTATCGAGTGCGAAGTCTGCTTTTTGAAATTAAATAAAAATTCTTCATTTTTAAAAAAAAATTAAATTTTTCTAACAATTTTTCTTTAAATTTAATTATTGAAGATATTTCTAACCGCAACTTTAACTATTCTGGTAATTTTATTCTAATTTTTTTTTTAAATTCAATTTTTTTCCAAATTTCTAATTAGAATTCTTCAAAAATACGATTATTATATTTTTCTAAATAATTTTTAAAAGTAGGTAAACAAATAAAATTCATTAAAATATAAAATTTATTTCAATGAAATTTGACAAAGTTTTCAATTGTTTCAATTTTTTAAAAAATTATTTCCTGAAATACAAGTATTTAAAAAAAAATTTTTCCTTTTTTTCAAGAAACAATTTTTTGGAATATTTCTGAATTAAATTTTTCAAAACTTCAATACTTTTTTGTTAAACAAAAATTTAAATCTTATTCTTATTTATTTTTCCACAGAAATGAAAATTTCAAATAATTTCAAATAAAATAAGCAATGGGAAAATTACTAAATTCATGAGAAGAATAAATTTTGTACTACATCTAAACAGAGGTGACAATAAATAAACGTAATTCTCTCAATTGTTTTTCTAATAAAACAATAAATGCTGTTTGAGTTGAGTAAATATAATTCTGAGCAGTCTCGAGAGAATCCTTAGGAAAGAAAAGGGGAAAAAAGTTAACTGCCTTATCCCCCTTTTTCACCTTATAATTACAAGGCAGTTTCCTGATTTTAAAAGCCAGTCTCCGATCAGAATATTCGGTTCCATGTAATCCAATATTGGTATTATTTTTTTTAATTATATGTTTTCTTTCGACTACCTTCATTTGGTTTCCTATTTCACTGCTCATCCTGTTTATTAAAATCCTCTCTCTGCCCTTTGGCATCTGTAATTTGAATCCTCTCGCACAAGTATTAATCACTTTTTTCATTTTTTCCACTTGGTGTACATAAATATGAATAAAATATATTTAAACATATTTTATTATACTTTTACTTTTATACTTTTTTTTTACTTTTACTTTTATTATACTTTTTATTATACTTTATTATATACTTTATTATACTTTGTAATATTTATAATTTTTTACTATTTCTATATTTTATTCTATTCATTATACTTTTGATAATATATATTAATAAATAGGTATATATATTATAATTGAGAATAATTATTGCATACATTATATTTGACCATAAAATTTTTTTTCACATGAATTTTTTATAATGACGTTTGAAAATGAAGAATTCTCGTGTTCTAACAACGAGTCTTTATTTTTGTTGCAGTACGGTAAGCAGCTCAGAGAAAACTACAGAGCCTTCAAGAACAAGCAGTGTGAGCAGACAAGTGGCGGCAGTCCCAAAGAACAGTACAACAGCTACAATGTACCCAATGTAAGTTTTTTTTTTCTTTTTCTTTTTTTTTCTCCTGCTAGATTTTATTTTACTCACGTCAACTGAAAATGTTCTCAAGACATTTTTTGATGCCAGGGAATTATTTTCAGTTTTGAATTAAAATTTTGACAGATACTTCTTAAGGATCAACGTCAAATTTTTATTGTAGTTTTAAAAAAGAATTTTTCGAACGTTTTAAAATAATATTTTGCCAATTTTTCAAATATAATTTTTTTAATAATTCGAAATTAATGATTTACCAGTTTTTAAAAATTTCTGTTTAGTTTAGTTTGATTGAAAACAATTTTTTTATATACTAAAAAAATAAAGACTAAAAATATAAAGACTTTAAATAAAATTAATAAACAATTTTAGATCACTTTTAGTTTAAAAAGTATTCTAAAAAATTAAAAAATTTATATTAGTCAACTAGCAAAAATTCAAGCGCTAAAGTGCGCGGCTAACTTCTTTACTTACGTTTTTAAATAAAAATTAACAATTTTAAAAATAATAGAATTTAAAAATTTTCTAATTTAAATTTTTGTTGAAAACACTAAAAAAATTCAATTTTGGAGAAATTACATAAATAATTGCAGAAATTCAATTCTTTTCAAAAGTAATAAAAATCCTTCTCATAAAATTCAATAGGTATGTTCAAAATTTAAGAAAAAAATTCTTGTCAAAATCCCAATTTTGTTTAAGAAAATTTTTCCCCAAAGTTATTTTCAAAAATGTCAATAAAATTTTTGTCCTATTTTCAATTATTTTCAAAAATTTTTCTCAGTAATTTAAATGATTTTCAATAGATATTTTAATTAAATTTCCCAAAAGGAATTCAATTATTTAAAAAAAAATTTAATAAAACTGTGCGTAAACATTTAATTATTTTCATAAATAATAAAAATTTCACAGGAATTCAATTATTTACAAATTTTTTTTAAAATTTCGACACAATAATTCAATTATTTTCAAGAGTGATAAAATTCTTTGTATAAAATTCAATTATCTTTCAAATTAAAAAAAAATTCTCGTCAAAATATCCCAATTATCTTTAAAAATAATAAAATTCTTTCTCAAAGTTCAATTATTTTCAAATCAATTTAAAATTCCCAAAAATCTCCCAAAAAGAATTCAATTATTTAAATTTAATTTGAATTTAAGATTTTTAAATTTCTTAATTCCTCTGGAAAAATAATAATAATTAAATATTTATTTTAAAAAGAAGTTGTTAATATTTTCGAATATTTTTACAATTAAAGAAATTTGTAAACAAATGTAATAGAACATTTTTTTTTTAATTAAAATTTTTTTCTTCATTTTCTAAAAATTTAAAAAGTTACAATTTCATTTTCAATTAAAATTTATAATTGACAAATGGAATTTATAAACATTTTTTCCATTTAATTTTAAAAAACTTAAAATTTTTTTAAAGTAATTGTAATTTTTTAAATTTTTTTATAAATTACTTCGCAATAATTCAATTATTTTCATAAAAAACAGTGAAAAATTCTAGAAAATAATAATTGAATTTTATCAAAAAATTTGAAAATAATTGAATTTCATCAAAGAATTTTAGTAAAATTTGCGAAAATGCTAATTCAATTTTTTTTGATGAATTTCTTTGAATTTTTTTTAAATAATAGTTTTATTAATAATTTTAATTAAAAATTTCTTAAGCAATTAAATTTTATAAAGAATTTTTTGTTAAATTTTTAAAATAATCGTGTTTCTTAATAATAATTAAACATTTAACATTTAACTATTGAATTTTATTAAACTTTTAAAAAAATAATTAATTTCTTCTGAGAATTTTATTACAATTTTCTAAAATAATTCAATTTATTCAACAAATTTTACTAAAATATAGAAAATAATTAAATTCTTTCAAAAAATTTCTTTAATTTATCGAATATAATCGATTTTGTTAATAATTATAATTAATAATTTTACTATTAAAATTTTATTAAAATTATTGATAGAAAGTTAAACTTTTTTAAACAATTTTATTAGAGTTGTTGTAAATAATTAAATTCTTTTAAAGAATTTTTTAAAGTTGTCTTGAAAATAGTATAGATACAGTATTTTTTCAAAATAATTGAATTTTTGCAAAGAATTTTACTATTTATAAAAATAATTGAATTATTTCGAAGGATTTATTAAAATTTTAGAAAATAATTGAATTTTTTCGAGAAATGTTGTCAAATTTTTGTTGAAAACAATTGAATTTTTGCAAAAAATTTTACTATTTATAAAAATAGTTGAATTGTTTCGAAGGATTTAATAAAATTTTAGAAAATAATTAAATTCTGTCGTGAAATTTTATCAAAATTCTTAAATCAAAATAACATTCTTCGGAAGAATTATTCTTTCGAAGGATGTTATTATTTATGAAAATAATTGAATTCTAGTGAAGAAATTAAAATTTTGGAAAATATAAACAATAATAATTAATTATGTACTTAATAAATGAATTTAAAAAATTCTGATTATGAAATTATTCAAAAATTTCTATTTAGAAATAAAAAAATTGGTCATTTTCATAATAATAATAATAATAATAATAATAATAATAATAATAATAATAATAATAATAATAATAATAATAATAATAATAATAATAATAATAATAAATTGACCATCACGTTATATATAGATATAGAAAAAATTTCCGTAAGAGATTTAATGACAATTGTCGAGATATTTACAAAAAAAAATAATGAAAGAGCAAGCGCGAATAATCGGTTTATAGGAATAAAAATGCATCCACAGAAGTTAGCCTCGAGAGAGTGATATATATGTACCGTTTTTTTTTTTTTTTTTTTTATTTATTTTCCGGATTTTTTTTTATTGAAACCACCGTGATTCGTTTAGAGCATTAAGCAGCACTGTATTTATGCAACGGTTAAATGGTGCGCCGAATTAACGTATTGGCTCGTATATCAAGAAGTTTATCGCCTGCTCCAGCGACAATAAATTTTCTGCGATCGTTCGATTTATCTGCAGTGCTTTCCGTTTCGCTGGAGAAGAAAGAACTGCGGCGCCGTTTAAAGCAATCGCCGTCAAAGTGGCCATGGAAAATTAATGTCGCATCAAGCGAATACCCGTAACTTAAAAAAAAAATATATATATATATATATATATGTGTGTATTGATGGTGCACAAACCATATTCCCAAATATGGTGAGCACTACAAATTTTCTCGACTAGATCGCGTTCCATCGCGTTTATAATGCGTGTCGGATTTTTCTTTTCAAGATCAATTTATTTTTTATTTCCTTTGTTTCGTCCTCGTTAATAATAATCTAGAAAATTGGCGATTTTTTTTTCTTTAATGATATTTGGATTTTTAAATTGTACAATGGGAGGAAAAAGTCCTTTAAATTTTTATTGATATTTAATAGAATATAAACGTATTTAAAATATCAATACAATTACTCTCCATTGATTCAAATTAAGAAAATAAAATATTAATGCATTTAAAATATCAATATATTTGAAAGATTAATGCAATTTAAATATTAATATATTTATTGATATTTGTTTACTTTCCCAGGTGCGAAAAGTTGGTCGGGCCATGGTCGCGCCGACCAAGTGGATAGTCGTGCCGACCTTGGCAACCAAAGGTCGGCCGAACTAGCGAATTGTAACACCCGCCGTCCAGTGGCTGACATGGTCGGGCCGACTATGGCTGCCAAAGTCGGACCGACCAGGGGTGCCAAAGTTTTGCCAACCATGTGAAAGAATGTCGGCTTGACTTTGGCAACCATGGTCGTGCCGACCTTGGCAGCCAAAGGTCGGCCGAACTAGCGAATTGTAACACCCGCCGTCCAGTGGCTGACATGGTCGTGCCGACTATGGTTGCCAAAGTCGGGCCGACCAGGGGTGCCAAAGCTTTGCCGACCATGAGAAAGAAGGTCGGATTCACTTTGGCAACCTTGGTCGTGCCGACCTTGGCAGCCAAAAGTCGGCCGACCGATTGCAAAAAATTATTAATTATTTATTATTATTATTAATTATTATTATTCATTATTTATTTGTTTATTGTATACATCTTAACACTAAACGCAATCTTACACATAAATACAAATTAAAATTTCTAACGCTCGCAGGAATCGAACTAACAACCTAACGCACCGAAGTCTAACACGCTAACCATTACGCTACGCTAACATGAAAGCATAAGAACAAAAATGATTTTATAAGCTGCAACTTCAAACTGACCATCGGCCCGACTCTGGCCAAAGTCGGCCCGACCAAGTGAAATTAGGTTTTTTGCACTCTGGCTGCCATAGTTTTACCGACCGTCGGCCCGACTCAGGCCAGAGTCGGCCCGACCAATTGAAATTAGGTTTTTTAAACTCTGGCTGCCATAGTTTAACCCACTATCGGCCCGACTCAGGCCAGAGTCGGCCCGACCAATTGAAATTAGGTTTTTTAAACTCTGGCTGCCATAGTTTAACCCACCATCGGCCCGACTCAGGCCAGAGTCGGCCCGACCAACTAAAATTAGGTTCTCTAAACTCTGGCTGCCATAGTTTTACCGACCGTCGGCCCGACTCAGGCCAGAGTCGGCTTGACCAAGTGAAATTAGGTTTTTTGCACTCTGGCTGCCATAGTTTTACCGACCGTCGGCCCGACTCAGGCCAGAGTCGGCCCGACCAACTAAAATTAGGTTCTCTAAACTCTGGCTGCCATAGTTTCACCGACCGTCGGCCCGACTCAGGCCAGAGTCGGCCCGACCAAGTGAAATTAGGTTTTTTAAACTCTGGCTGCCATAGTTTAACCCACCATCGGCCCGACTCAGGCCAAAGTCGGCCCGACCAACAGAAATTAACCTTTTTAAACTCTGGCTGCCATACTTTAGCCGACCATCGGCCCGACTCAGGCCAGAGTCGGCCCGACCAATTGAAATTAGGTTTTTTAAACTCTGGCTGCCATAGTTTAACCCACCATCGGCCCGACTCAGGCCAGAGTCGGCCCGACCAACTAAAATTAGGTTC